CAGTTTGGTACAATTAATAGATATTAGGGAAAACTCCAGTAAACGTACTTGTTGTTTGGGGTGTTTTCAATTAGGGTCATGAGATTCATTTCTTGACAATCACAGGCTCGTGATTTTACTCCGTTATCTTAATCGGGGCACCCACCTTACGACGTTAGTTATCGCTGACGTGGCATTAATTTTAACGGTTACTTTGAAATGGTTTTATTTAGTCATATATGCGTGACTTTTCTCTTCTAGTTACTTATTAAAACCCTGCAGACTCTTGTTTAAGACATTGCTAAGCCGTTGCTGAAGGTCATAAAGAAAGAGGAGTAAGACGATGATGAGTTCTTCAAGCGCCGAGTCCTGGTCGATGGATGGAAGAAGACGAATTAAGAGGTGTGAGTGTGGACTCCAAGCACCATTGCGGACTGCTACGACGGACAAAAACAGGGGGAAAAGACTTCATGGATGCGGTCGTTACTTGAGTGATCAAAAGTGCAATTTTTTGAATGGGTTGAGGATGAAGAATGTGGTACTTGCCTGAGACGGATAGATAGTTTGCTTCAGAAGATTACCAGTGTTGAAGAGAATTTCCGAATGAAAGAATTAGAGATGCAAGTTGAAATCAAGAGTTGTGTTCGTGGGATTGGTCTTCTGAAACTTCAAAATATGGAAGAGGAACTTAAGATGTCAAAGAAAGGCAATAGGACTTTCTCCTGGAATCTAGTGTGGTTCGCGTTGTTTGTTATCATCTAGATAGGAGGAAGCAGGATGTATTAGGTGTCAAGGTTGTCATGTGTTTGATAAAATGTCTCAGTGAAATCTCTCTATGTTTTGTATGGTTGTTTTAGGTTTTAGGTGTCAAGGTTGCCATCCGTAGTTATTTTGTATGATTTATGGTTGTAATGTACTGTGTGTGTCTTGAATTTGGTTGTATGATTGTAATGAAGTTTATCAATTTGGTTATGAAGTTTATGAAGTTTATGAAGTGTGGTTGTCAACTTAATTTTCAAACATACCAAGTTTATGAATTTGATTATGAAGGTTATGTACTTTATGAAGTTGTGAAACATTGAATTACATTACATAAGGAAGAATGAAAGTAAAGATAGTAAGAGATCACATAAGCAAGAATGATTACCAAACCATACATGACAAAAACAAGAAATACACAACAGATTACATTACATTAAACCAAACCAGTCTGGTACATTACATTGATAGTAACAGATTACATAATGATTATCCAATGTTAAAGTAACAGATTACATAAGCAAGAATGATTACCCCTAAAAAAACAAGAATGATTACCCAATGAGTACAAAAACTCTTCCAAAACAGACTAGGCATCATAGTTGAGCAAAATGACTACATAAATGTATCAAAAACATATTATAAATTACATTTGACCAACCAATGTCTGGTACTTTACAGTGATTACCCAATGAGTACAAAAATCCTTCCAAAATAGATTACAATGACTACATTACATAGCCTTTTGACATTTCTCAATTACATTGCATGGAGATTACAAACAGGTATCTTCCTAGCAATTACACACATCACATCATTGAACCACCCATCTTCAGCAATGTTTTTCCTGCAACATAGTCATCCATTAGAATATGTATAACAACAATCACTTATAGTTCGGATCAGCAAGTCATACCAGAGCTTAATGTGGTTGTGAGATGGAGGATCTTGTGATTCTTCTAGATGATGGTTGTGGTGGTTGTGAACCGGACATTCTCATCCTCTTTGTTGAGCTTCTTGCATTTGGAATAGAAGTATTGGGGACATATTCTTCATTTTCAGTACCTTCAACATGCACCTCAGTGTTGACAGTAGACTCTTCATTTCCAACATCTTCAGAATCACCATGTGCCCTTGATGTGGAAGACTTTTGTCTTCTCAACCTCATTCTTCTTTGCCATGGAGTTTCTCCAGTAAGGGATGTCTTACATCCTCCAACATTATGCCCCACCTACTTACAATTACCCCACACAACTTGTTTCCCAGCCCTAGAAACCTTCTATGGATTCCTTGTTTCTTCTAGAGCTCCAATCCACTTTTCCTTTGGTCTACCAACTGGCTTTCTTGGAATTGGTGGCTTTATATCAGGAAAGTCAGTGGTTTCCCACTCATCTTTACTGGGGACCTTTGTTCTAAAAATCGTTCTAGGCGTCCGACTAGTCCCCGCCTAGGAGCTAGGCGGTGGTCGGGCGCCCCGATTTTCGCCTAGGCGCTCTGACTAATTGGTTTGCCGTCTGGGTGAATTAGTCGGCCGCCTATGGCGCCTAGTTGTCCGTCTAGAGCGTCTAATCGGGCCACCTAGGTCGTCTAGATTGATCGAACATCACTTTACTTTGTAATATTAATTTTCAAAGCGATATAAGTACTTTAACTTTAACCCCGGATATAAAGAAATGAAGTTGTAAATTAAGATAAAGACTATATATAACATAGTGATGTTAAGTGATTATTTATCATATATTACGTATGATTAAGTGTGATAATTCTGTAATTCATGTTTTTTAAATGTATGTGGACATATGTATTTTATACACAAGAATATATACAATATTACTTATTATATTTATGCAAAAATATAGGTAAAATGCAATTTCTATGTCTCCGACTAGTCCTCGACTAGGCACCCGCCTAGCCGCCCCGCCCGCCCGGGCGCTAGGCGCTGAGCTGGGGCCCGACTAACGCCTGACGCCTTTTAGAACATTGAGGGACAAGGTGGATCATATGCTAATACACAGCTAGGTATGTAGCTTTTGAGTAATATGCACTAACATAGTCCTCAGACTTTTCTCTGTTAGCATAACTAGCAGACATTCCATGTTTGCATGAGATTCCATTTAAATTCCACATTCTACAAGAGCAAGTTCTTTCATTCAAGTTCACCACATAACTTCTATCAAAATATTCAACCTCGTAAAGTTTGTCACTAGCTGGAGTGCAAAAACAATTCCTACCATCATACTTTAGTTTTTCTATAAGGTCTTGTTTGTTAGGACAAATTTCCCCCTTATATTTTAGCATCGCGACATGAAATCTCTTCATTAACCCTTTTTTAATCCATTCAAACATGCTTAGGATAGACAAATCTCTAGCTCTATGAATATAAGAATTGAAAGATTCACAAATGTTGTTCTTATTTTATAAAGATAATAATGGTAAGTAATAAGTATAACGATTTAATATCATCACTCACAATTAAATTTAATACTATCCTCCGTATCATAATAGTTGCAACATTGGAATTTATACACTATTCATGTACTCTACTTTGACTACATTTTATTTATTAATGTATGTGAATTAATTTTTATGAAAAATATTGTTAAATTCGTATCATTACAAAATTTCATAATCTGATTTTTAAATTTTTTTTACTAATAGAGAATTAAATATAATGACGGTCAAAGTTGTGCATTGGCAAGCGTGAAAAAATGAATGTTGCAACTAAAAAAGAACGGAGGAAGTATATTTAAAATAGTAAAATAGTGTTCAACATTTTTCGATAACTCAAGAACTCTAAAGCAAAATAGAAGATAAAATTTCAATGCCCCTTGATCTACCAAATCTAGAAAACAAGAGGGAAAATGAATAAGGAATGATAAAAAGCAAAAAAGAGCAAGGATATTGATAGGGCTGGGCATATCGGCGGTTCGATTTTTATTAGTTTCGGTTCGGTTTGGAACGGGGTGGAAGAATTATTACCAAACAAAAACCATACTATTTTTCGGTTTCGTTCGGTTCGGTTTAATTCGGTTTGGATTTGTTAATTTTTAATAATATATGAAGTTTTTTTTTGAATTTCTTTGGTTCGGTTCGGTTTTGTTCGGTTTTTACCGGTTTCGGTTCGATTCCATTTAATACGGTTTGGAAGAAGTAGTACCAAACTCAAACCAAATTACATACGGTCCGGTTTCAATTCGATTTAGTTCGGTTTGATACGGTTCGGTTAAACCAAACCGTTATGCCCACCCTAGATATTGACATGTACTATGCATAATATTAAAAAAAAAAGAGGAAAAAGGAACAAAAGGTCTCAAACATGACTAATGTATTAGGGTGAGACCCGTCCATTGGTACTAAAAACGTTATAAAAATGTATTAAAAAAATATCATAAACAAATGTTGTACAAGAATATACATAAATTCCATATATACACCTACATTTTTTGTTTTTTCAATTCAAGGTAATTTTCAAAAGTAGTACGAAAAATTAAAATTAGGGCTGAGCATATCGATTTTCGGTTTGGTTTTTATCGGTTTCTGTTCGGTTCGGAACGGGTTGGGAGAATTATTCCCAAATAAAAATCATACTATTTTTCGGTTTGGTTCGATTCGGTTTAGTTCGGTTTGGAAGAAATACTACCAAACTCAAACCAAATTGCATACGATCCGGTTTCGGTTTGGTTTAGTTCGGTTTAGTACGGTTCGGTTAAACCAAACCATTATGTCCGCAAATGTAATTTGATGAAAAACCCACAAATACAATAAGCATGTATGACATTAAGTGGACATCAGATTATGCTAGCGAATTAATAATAGTGTAATCAATCAACGAGTTTGATTAATGAAAATATGTGTGATAATTTAGTCATTTGACCGTAACTATTTGCAGCATTCTCATTTGAGCAATTCCTCCTAAGTCCTAATAACACTAAAGCCGAATAGTTATTTACCAAACCATTTTTCTGTTATAAAAAATACTTCATACTAAAAACGATTAAGTCACTATTTTTTACTAAAAAAGGATGACACCCCATTCCTGAGGGCCCTCAACACCGACCGGACAACACGATGGGAGGATGTCAGTTGGATATAATCACAACCTTACAGATAGAGGGTGGGGCTCCGTCCCCGGTACTTGCAGAGGCCCTATGCATTTTTCAACATAGTAACTCCTTATCGCAGTTGCCGGGATTCGAACCCGAGACCTAACCCTTGTGACACTCCCTCGCTATCAGTTGAGTTACGCCTACCGGTAAGTCACTATTTTTTTTACTAAAATGTCATTTTCCAGTATAAAAGGCCTCGTGTAAAAATTAAGAAGGGCGAAATCAAGAATATCAGATGAGCTGCAAAAGTTCCAGCATGCGAGTTTATTAGGTGCTGTATCTCAAATAAAGCATCATGATGGCGACGGCCGGAGTTCAACACAGCCTTCCCTTCTGCTCTCTCCGGCCACTCAGTGCATCGCTGCTGCCGAGGCTTTCATTCCAAGTTCACCCATTCTCCAATGTTTATGTTTCCGTCCCGAGAGTTGCAGCAATTGCGAACGCATCTCGCAGGAAACCGTCTCCCAGTGGATTCAAAGCAGTTTGCAGAAGCAAGGGCAAAAGTCGGAAAGAAGAGGCGTTTTTGGACCAAAACGGCGTCGTTCATGACATGGATGCCTATCTCGACTCTCTCTCCCTTGAATACGACTCCGTTTGGGACACCAAGCCCTCATGGTATTTTTAAATCCCCATTTTTCTACTACATGTTATTTTTTACTACCTCCATATTTAAAAGGAGAATTTACCCTAAATAGGACTAAAAACGTTTGTAAATTCCAAAATGGGACTGCCATGTTTTTAATTCCCAAAATGGGACTAATTACTGTCATGTTTTGTCAGTAACAGACTTTAAACATGACAGTATTTTCCAAACTTGACAGTAATTACTCCTATTTTGGGAATAAAAACATGACAGTCCTATTTTGGAATTTACAAACGTTTTTGGTCCCATTTCAGGAACTTTCCCTATTTAAAAGTTCTTTAGTGTTCCTATTTGAGTTATATTTAGAAGTTCCTTTGGTAAGTTTACTCTTTATCTTCTTTTTCATCCTTTTACACGCTGTTTCCTACTTTTTTTTACACTATTCGTTACCTCTATTATTCTATCCTAAAATATTGTGTCCAAAGCTAGTGTAGATATCATTTAAATAAGGAGGGAGTATTCTATCCTCAGATTAGTGTATCAAAACTTATCAGATTAGTTTTGACCAATAGAAGCTCGAGTCTATCATTTATGACTAATATTACCTTCGTGTCAAAAAAGTTTTAATTATGACCAATATGACCAATAAAAAGTCATATTGACTTTCTTACTTAATGATGACAAACTTTGAATAATGATTTTATTTATTACATTGAAAATATTTAGAATAAAGAATGTTTTGATATTATTTCATATTCAAAATAATTTCACATTAAAAAATATCATCAGTCTAAGTTGATCGTCATTGATCAAGAAAAAACAATTTGGTGAACTTTTTCGGAACGGAGAGAGTAGTAATTTTTGTGACAGTTTTTTGTTAGAATTTAAATAACTAAACCCTTTTCCAATTATAATTTAGTTAGTAATTAGTAATATATGAAAATAACATAAAATCAAGGTTTTGAAAGACCAAGGGTACATTTGGCAGAACAACATCACCTAATTGCCTCTTAGGATGTTTTTACTTAGATTGAAATTTTCTGGTCTACGTGTATTTTATAACTGCCCAAGTTTGGTCTAACCTGAACGGATCTGATCTGGAACTGAAAACAGTCCAAATAATAACATCTTTAACCTTTGATTCCTTTGATTTTACATATAGAAACTTAGGGTTTGTTTGCAAACACTACTCCCAAGTGCTTTTAACTTTTTAAAGTGATTTGGGGAAAAGTGATTAATAGTAAAAGTTGGTAGTGTTACAGGAAAAAATGATTTTGAAAAATAAAAGTTGGTAGTGTTTGGTAAAATAAGTGCCTTTTGTGTAATAGAAAAAGTAAAAAACACTTTTTGCACAAAAGTCGAGAAATTTTTTTTTAAAGTAAAAGTTGTCATTTGAAAATACTATTTTTAACTTTTTTAAGCTAAAAGGTGTAAAATGCTTTTTTTATGTGTTTGCAAACAAAGCCTTAAGCCTCTTGGGTGATACATAGCCCTCCTTTTTTATGTGTTTGCAAACAAAGCCTTAAGCCTCTTGGGTGATACATAGCCCTCCTTTGCGCCTTGCCTTTGAAAACCATGTATACAACTACTAGGAGGCGTTTACTTCGCTGCTAAAGTCACAGTTAGGTTAGTAAGACAGGTGAAGTAAACACGCACGCTGCTTAAAAAGCCGCTTACTAACCGAAATAGGTGCTTAGAGTGCCGCTTACTAAGCCTACCACACCCCCATGTATTAATTAAGCGGCACTTTAAGCTTTTTCAGTTTCCGAATTTACCCCTTGCCCTTACCCTATTGTTACCCCTGACCCACCTACCTACCGACCCCACCTTGACCCCAACCCCACCTACCCCACCCCTACCCTACACCTTCTATCCCGACCCCACCCTACCCTTACCCTTACCCCACCCCTACCCCTACCTTACCTACCCCACCCCTACCCTACCTAACCGACCCCCACCCTACCCTTACCCCACCTACCTGACCCCACCTTACCCCTACCCTACCCCATCCTACCCCTACCCGACCCCACCCTACCACTACCCTACCTACCAGACCCCACCCCTACCCTACCTACCAGACCACAAACCTACCCCACCCCTTACCCACCTACCCAACCCCACCCTACCCCTACCCTATCCCGACCCCACCCTACCCTTACCCTCACCCCACCCCTACCCCCTACCCCCTACCTTACCTACCCACCCCTACCCCCTACCTTACCTACCCCACCCCTACCCTACCTAACCGACCCCCACCCTACCCTTACCCCACCTACCTGACCCCACCTTACCCCTACCCGACCCCACCCTACCACTACCCTACCTACCAGACCCCACCCCTACCCTACCTACCAGACCACAAACCTACCCCACCCATTACCCACCTACCCAACCCCACCCTACCCCTACCCTATCCGACCTCACCCTACCCCTACCCTGACCCTACCCCATACCCCGCCTAAACCCACCCTACCTACCCGAACCCACCCCACCACTACCCCACCTACCCAACCCCACCCCTACCTTACCTACCCGACCCACCCTACCACTACCTGACCGCAGTCACCCCACCATACTCTTACCCCCACCTACCCCATCCCACCATATACCCCGACCCCATCCTTTACCCCCACCCTATACCTAGGGTGGTGGGGTTGGGGTGGTGGGGTCGGGGTGGGGCCAATGTGATAGAGGCGCTAGGGGCAGAGTAGGTGCGGTGGGGTCGGGGGTAGGGTGGGGTCAGGTAGGGTAGGGGTAGGGTGGGATTGGGTAGGGTAGTGGTAATCGGGGTAAGGTAGGGTAGGGGCGTTGTTGGGGTAAGGTAGGGTAAGGTGGGGTCAGGGTGGGGTCGATGCGGTAAGGGGGTATGGGGGTAGGGGCCTATGGGGTTGGGGGTAGGGTCGCGGTAGGGTGGGATCGGGTAGGGGTAGGGTCGGGTAGGTAGGGTAGGGGTAGGGGGTAGGTGGGGTCAGAGTAAGGTAGGGTGGGTAAGGGGTTAGGGGGTATGAGTACACATTTATATTATATACTTGTGTTCATGAATGTTTGTGTGTGTATATATGTATAGGTTATTTTGGACATTTTAATGTTAAGCGGTGTTTTAAACCGTTTGAAGTAAACACAGTCTTACAACATTGTTTATTTTATGCACCGCTTATTAACACGGGTCTTAATAAGCACCGTTTAATAACCGGTGAAGTAAACGCCTCCCTAAGGATGTTTTTACTTGGACTGTAATTTGCTGGTTTGGTCTGGTCTGGTCTGGTCTGATCTGGTCTGGTCTGGTCTGAACTGGTCTGGTCTGGTCTGGTAAGGTCTGGTTTCTTTGTATTTTTATAACTATCCAAGTCTGGTCTGGTCTGGTCTGAACTGGTCTGGTCTGGTCTGGTCTGGTCTGGTCTGGTCTGGTCTGGGACAAATTACAGTCCAAGTAAAAACATCCTAATACCCATTTGCAACATCCAATCAATTTTGAATCTATAGTTATTGCAAGTCGTCGATATAGAGATCTGAAAGAATGAACTTTGGTATGGTTTGTGATTTTAAATGCTTTTTCGTTTTGGCATATCATGGCCTGTGAGCTTAAAAATAAAAATGGGCTTCAAACAAACCTGATAAATACAAATTATTATTCATTGTGGCTTTTAGTGAGACAAACGTGAATCTATCCTAAACCAGACCAGACTTGAATAGTTATAAAAATACAAAGAAAACAGACATTACCAGACTAGAACAGAAAATTACAGTCCAAGTAAAAATATCCTAATATGTTTTGGTCCTTGCTCAGACGAGCTTCAAAAAGCAAAAGTATTGGAAGTGTGAATTGTTCTCCATTCACCAATGTTAAGAAAATTGAAAAATCATCCATTTATCAACTCGATCATGTCAACATCAAGCATGTCTATTTTAAGAGATTGAAAAGCTTGTTGATTTCACTAAAATAGAGCAATACAAGAAGAGAAGTATATAAATATTTCTTCCATTTTAGTCACTTTATATATTCTCATATTACAATTAAGAAACTAATTAAGGCCATCTCCAACAAGCACCATTTGTCACACCAAAATGGTGTATTTTGCAAAAAAATGCTCCAACAATGGCACCAAACACTACACCATTACATCAAAATGGGGGAGGGAGGATGGCTTCACGCCATATATGGCGTACGCCATATTTTAGGCCATCTCCAACAGTTAACACCATTTTTTACACCAAAATGGTGTAAACATCACATCAAACAGTATTTCATCTCCAACAGTTTACACCATTTTCATCACCAAAAAGGAATATTCTCTTTTTATTCTTTTTACTAACTTTTCTCCATTCTTCTATTTAAGTATCTAACTATCATATATTTATATATTAGCCCCTCATTTAATATTTTGACATTTCACACATTATTTCACACATACAAATTAAAATACACCATTTTAATATGTATTTTCACGCATCTCACTAATTAAAATACAATAATCAATATTTCACAAATACAAGCTAAAACCACATAAAATTAAATATTACAATAATATTATAATAATTTATACGTCATTAATAATTTAATAAAGTACTACTTAAACTTAAAGCTATAGATTAAATAAACATTCTTAGTTTAGTTATCGGAATTTGAGAATTGTTCCCACAAATGATCAATTAAAGCATTGCGGAGCTCAATATGAGCGTCTTTGTCGTGTATTTGGTTATGTCGGCTAAGAAATTGAGTGAATCGTGCCGCCTCATCAACTGCCACTTCAATATCTGGAACTGGTGTATCTCTCACATCTTCAACCGGTGCATGTATATCACACGTTCATTCTATATTATCATATTATGCATAATAATACATGCACTCATTATGTCATGTAAGACTTTTTTCTCCCAAAAACGTGAAGGTCCTGCGATAATTGCAAATCGGGATTGCAATACTCCAAAGGCACGTTCAACATCTTTTCTACATGCTTCTTGTCCCATGGCAAAATATTTCTTCTTTCTACCTTGTGGTTGATGAATTGTTTGAACAAGTGTTGACCACTTTGGATATATACCATCCGCTAAATAGTAACCGACATTATACTCTTTTCCTTGAATAATATAATGAGCGGGAGGAGCAATTCCTTGTGCTAAATCTGAAAAAAGATTGGATGCCTCTAAAACATTAATATCATTGTTACTACCTGGCATTCCAAAATATGCGTGCCATATCCAAAGATCATAATCTGCCACAGCTTCAAGGATGATAGTTGGTGAGCCACTACGACCAGAATCTTGTCCTGCCCATGCTGTTGGACAATTTTTCCATTTCCAATGCATGCAATCAAGACTCCCCAACATTCCTGGAAATCCACGTTGTTTTCCAATGTCAAGAAGTCTCGCTATGTCATTGTCATTAGGTCTTCTTAGATACTGCCCTCCATATATTTGGACAATAGATCGACAAAATCTTTTCATACTTTCAATTGCTGTAGACTCACCTATTTTAACGTACTCGTCTGTTGCATCTGCGGGCACACCATATGCCAACATACGAAATACAGCTGTTATTTTTTGTAAAGTTGATAATCCGAGTCTACCTGTTGCATTTCTTCGTTGGTGGAAATAGTTGTCATGATTTGTAACAGCACCAACTATTTGTAGGAACAAATCTCTGGACATACGATATCGTCGGCGAAATAATGCTTCTCCATAACGTGGATTTGGAGAGAAATAGTCCATGAACAAATTATGGTCTCCCATTTCTCGATCACGGTCTATCACCACATGACCATGAACAGATCCACCATGCCTAATAGGCGTATTCAGCTCACCAATACAATGACTTATTGTCATGTTGTTGTTTTTTAGTGCCACCATCATGATTTCTTCTTCTTCATCAAGTTGTGCTATAGTGTTCATCGCTAAAGCATCATCATCTGAAGAAGAAGACGATGATATGTAAGAGGACGCTCCAATATTGAAGTTCATTTTTTTATGTGGCGATCCATCTGATGTGTTAATTTGTTCATATTAATAGTAGTACGCTTATCTGAAGAGATAAGAATCCAATGGTTGTGAAGAAAAGGCAATCCATCCATCGGGTAACGTAATGATTCCCTACCCACTTGCATCTGACATTGTAAGTAGTGCGTGACAAGTAGTACGCTTATCTCAAGAGATAAGAATCCAATGGCGAAAGAATAAAAGGAAATTCAAAATTATGGTAACGTAATGATTCCCTACCCAATTGCATCTGACATTGTAAGTAGTGCGTGACAATTAGTACGCTTATCTCAAGAGATAAGAATCCGATGGCGAAAGAATAAAAGGAAATTCATCCATCGGGTAACGTAATGATTCCCTACCCACTTGCATCTGACATTGTAAGTAGTGCGTGACAAGTAGTACGCTTATCTCAAGAGATAAGAATCTGATGGTTGTGAAGAAAAGGAAATCCATCTGATGGACAGTTTACCCGGGGGGTGTCTTATCCGAGGGGTTATTGCGGGAATAACTAGAGAGAAGTCAGAGCAAATAGGAGGAGAGAGAGTTGATTTTATTAAATGAACTCGAGATGTGGAGTTGGGATCCTTTACAAGGAGAATTGGGCTGCTATTTATAGCAGCAATAAATGCGATGAGAGTACACGTGTCAATAATCTGACGGCCGAGGGGTCACATCAATCGGGTGGCACCGGCAGTGGCATGTTCCCCGCATTGAATGCGGTGGGTGGATGTGACGTCGCATTAAATGCGGTGGTTGGCTGTCTCCAAAGGGAATCTTTGATGATTGAGGATGTTCGGCTGAAGGCTCCTTATGTAGCCGAGGGCTCCATGGAACTGAGGACCCCTGTGTAGCCGAAGGCCCTGCGTGACTGGAGGCTTGGTTCAGCCGAAGGCTTCCTTGATGCCGAGGGCTTGACTCCGCCGAAGGCTCATGTTTTTCACCGTTTTCTCCCAGTAGCTTCGTATGCCAGAGAAGGCTATCCTGTGAGTTTTGGAGCCTTCGGCCAAGGAGGCCGAAGGCACCCCAGTGTGTTTTCTGGGCTACTTTGAGGCTTGGGCTGTTGCATTTGGGCCTGAGTTGTTCTCTGGGCTCAATGGACTTGTGTAGGAGAAGTAGGAGTCTATGGGCCGGGGGTTCTTGGGCCATATACTCCATCAAGAGTCCCTCACTCCTTTTGCCGAAAGGTACTTTAGGAAAAAGGAGTAGATGTGTTGATTCTTTTGGAGGCTTCATCATCTGGTTGGGCGCCTTTGCTTGAGAACTTTTCTTCTGCGGATTGCCGAAGGCTTCCTTCAGTCCCCCACATGTCGAGGGTTTTCTGAGGGAAGCGTAAATAATATCTGTATGTGTTGTGATGAAGGCTGCTTCATCATCGTCAGTGACTTTGTGGAAAGTTTCTGACATTCTGCTTTGCCGAAGGGTGTAATGGTGTATGTACCCGAGGGCTACATGCGTTATTTGTAGGTTTCCTGCATGTGGGAATTTTTGTTTTTAGTCATGTGTGATTCCCGAGGGGTGTATCCCAGTCCCTCACTCCTTTAGGTCGCAGGCAAGTTTGGGCTGAGGAGTTATGATGTGTTGATGAGCTCCCGAGGGGTGGCAACTTTGACAAGGCGAAGGCTTATACTGCTGAATTCTTGAAGGGTTCTGGTGAGAGTTGTTAACCGAGGACCATAATAGGTGGCAGCCGGAGGCAGTCACTTAGGGGTGCAACATTGATAAGCCGAAGGCTTATGCTGCTACGTGCTCGAGGACGGAACATTGACAAGCCGAAGGCTTATGCTGCTGCATTCTCGAAGGCACTTGGTGAGAAGTTATTCACCGAAGGCCACTGTGTGGTAACAGCCGGAGGTAGTCATTTGGGGGCACTCTGGTGTTCCCGAAATGTGGCCGTTGTAATATAGCCGTTGGAGAGGGGGTTGACGTGGCGTGTCCTCGTTGGATGACGGTGGGCGGGTGCCATCCATTGGCTGGACCGGCGGCCTGTAATGATGGGCTTTTCAAATCGAGGCCCAGTTCTCGAGGCCCAGTTGCCTATAAATACCCCAGAGCCGAGTTCATTTCCCTTGTGCGATCTTACGTGATAGCGAAGCTCTGCTAAAAATTCTAGAGAGAGAAACCTTTGCCCTCGATCAAATCCCATTTCTCAGGTCAGTTCCTCGCCAGTTCTTTCGCTTACTTAGCATACTTAGTCACTCCGGCCTTAGTTTTAGTATTATCAACCATAAGCGCCTTCGGCTAGAGATTTCTAAATAGCCCTCTTCTTTCGACATCTCCGATCCCTTCTAACCATGTCCTCTGCGAGCGATTCGCAAAACATATCGGAGGAGGCCCCGGTCCAATCTGAGAGTCTTTCGGATGTGGAGTCCTCCAGCGTGCAATCATCGGCCTGCGGTGACCTAGCTGTGGCCCAAGAGGTGCAGAGTACCCTTCGAACGGAGCTTGAGGCCGAGGAGTTCGAGCAGGTGGCTGAGGACGAAGAGATGGCCCCCGCGCTTCAAGTGGCCGAGGAAGAAGAGGAGAAAGAGCGGCAGAGGGTGACGGTTGCAGTGTTGCCCTCCCGCGGTGCTGGTGAAGCGAGCAGTTCCCGGCCCCTGGACCCAGAACCCCTGAGCGTTGCCCCCGGCAGAAGAAAGAAAAAGTTGAGGGCGGCTCCGAAGAAGAAGCAGGCGGCTGTTGACGCGGGGAGACTCGTCGGTATTCCTGAGGGACACTCCTACCTCAATACCGCCGCCCTTGCGGTGAAGACGAAGGCAACGGCTGCCGAGTACCAGGCGACGCAGCTCTTGGTAGGGCCTTCGGCGCAGGTTATCGAACCGGGGCCTGAAGATCTACTGTCCAACCCCCCGGAGGGTTGTTTCTCCGTGCACATGCTCTCGGTGGAGCTGGGTCTCAGGTTCCCGCTTCATTCCTTTGTTCTGGAGTACCTGAGGTACGTAAAGCTAGCTCCCTGCCAGCTCACCCCAAACAGCCATTATTACCTGGCGGGGTTCCTATCTCTCTGCCGAAGCCGGAAGGTGGAGGCTACGTTGGAACAGTTCTTCCTATCCTTTAATCTGTGCCGGGGGGGGGGGGGGGGGGACATTCCCATGCCGGAGGGTACGCCAACTTGCAACAGGTCCCTGCCTGGAAGCTTTTCTCCGAGACTCCTTCATCCCATAAGGATTGGAAGGAGAAGTTCTGTTACATTCGGTTAACCGAGCATCCATTCCTGGGTACTTTGCGTGACCACTTCAGGAGACACCCGAAGGTGTGCGGCCCTGCATAAGGCCGGCAAGAAGCTGATTGAGAAGCCCGAGGGCCCCGATAAAGTGATAGCCATCAAGGTGGCCGCCTCGCCGGAGGAGTTGTACTTATTGGGCTTTCGGCGGTTCCGCCTCGCTGGGGAGGATGATGAGAGATACCCTTTGATTAACCAGGGCTATATGAACGTCGGAGGTCGTTGCCGAGGGCCTTATCTTTGGTACTTAGGAATTTTGTCTTTGATTTGTTTTGACTCTGACCTTTCCTTGTTTTTGCAGGCGACATCATGGATCCCAAGGTTTTCGCTAAGCTTTCCAACAAGCTGTCCAAGGATAAGAAGAAGAAGGCTGAGGGGTCTCCTAAGCAGAGAGCTGTGGAGGAATTCTTCCCAAAACCAGAGGCTCCGAGGGGCCAAGAGGGTGGTGGCCCCCTGAAAGATGCTGATGCTGGCGTTGTTGCCGAAGGCTCCCGTGTCCCGGAGCTAAAGAGAAAAAACGCCGGGAAGGGCACCGCGCTGCCGGAGAAGAAGCAGAAGAGGGGGGATGCCGAACAGAAGGCTCCCCCAGTAGTGATTATTGACGACCCCCCTTCCGGCAAGCCCTCGGTCTCCCTGCCCCTGACGGATTTTGATGAGGGGGCTTGGCCCCTTGAGAAGGTGCAGTTCCCCATCAAGAAGGGGACTGCTATTATGCACGGTACCCTCGATCCGAGGGAATTCTTGAGGGGTGCCACTCCTCCCCTGGATCGGTCCACCCTCGGCCGGTTTGGGGACGAGGCCCTCGAGCTCAAGGCCCTTCAGGCCTCGGCCACCGTAAGTATCTCATCCTTCAAAATTTTTTGCTATTGTGTTCCTTTCCCTTTGCATAATCTGATCCCAGGTGCACCCTTGTGTGCTTGCAGGCTAGCTTGGCCTTCGGGGAGCTTGTGAGGAGGGCGGAGCAGCACCGCCTCGAGAAAGCCAAATCTGACGAGGTTACAAGGAAGCTGGTCGCCAATAATACTGAGGCCATCCGGCAGCTGACCGGTCTGGAGGAGGCCCTTCGGCAGGCTGAGCAGAAGTTGGAGGCTGCCAAGGAAGAAGCCCGGGCCCTGGGGAAGGCTGAGGCCGAAAGGGCCGCTGCTGAGGCCGCTAAGATAGCCGCCGAGGAGGCTGAGAAAGCGAAGGCCACTGCCGTGGAGGAGGTCGAGAAGAAAGCTGTTGCCGCCTTTACTGCCGGGGGGTGGAGGGCCGAGGACCACGAGGGGTGGGTGGCCTCGGTGGTTGAGGCCAGAGCGGATGCCTGGGTGAAGGGCCCAGGGGCAATGTGGCTTGCCCTGAAGGGGAAGAGTTTCTACGAGGGCGCCCAATATTCTACCCAGGCTATGCTGTACCGGAGGTTGGCTCGGCACCACGGAGTGGACCCCAAGGATTTTGATCCGGCAGCCCATGGTCTCCCCCCTCTCTTGCCAGACGTCCGAGTCCCCCTGCCCGAAGGTGAAGAAAGGGAACTGCTAGAGGATTCTGAGCTGGCTAAGTGTGGTGATGATGATGATGATGAAGAGGTCGGGGACGGAGAAGGGGCCACCTCCAAAGCCGCCGAGGGGGGGTTCGGAGATGTTCATGCTTGAAGAATTTTACAAAAATGTGTAATAGATCAATAGGCTTTGGCTTCGGCCGTGATTGTAACAGGTCCCTGCCTGGAAGCTTTTCTCCGAGACTCCTTCATCCCATAAGGATTGGAAGGAGAAGTTCTGTTACATTCGGTTAACCGAGCATCCATTCCTGGGTACTTTGCGTGACCACTTCAGGAGACACCCGAAGGTGTGCGGCCCTGCATAAGGCCGGCAAGAAGCTGATTGAGAAGCCCGAGGGCCCCGATAAAGTGATAGCCATCAAGGTGGCCGCCTCGCCGGAGGAGTTGTACTTATTGGGCTTTCGGCGGTTCCGCCTCGCTGGGGAGGATGATGAGAGATACCCTTTGATTAACCAGGGCTATATGAACGTCGGAGGTCGTTGCCGAGGGCCTTATCTTTGGTACTTAGGAATTTTGTCTTTGATTTGTTTTGACTCTGACCTTTCCTTGTTTTTGCAGGCGACATCATGGATCCCAAGGTTTTCGCTAAGCTTTCCAACAAGCTGTCCAAGGATAAGAAGAAGAAGGCTGAGGGGTCTCCTAAGCAGAGAGCTGTGGAGGAATTCTTCCCAAAACCAGAGGCTCCGAGGGGCCAAGAGGGTGGTGGCCCCCTGAAAGATGCTGATGCTGGCGTTGTTGCCGAAGGCTCCCGTGTCCCGGAGCTAAAGAGAAAAAACGCCGGGAAGGGCACCGCGCTGCCGGAGAAGAAGCAGAAGAGGGGGGATGCCGAACAGAAGGCTCCCCCAGTAGTGATTATTGACGACCCCCCTTCCGGCAAGCCCTCGGTCTCCCTGCCCCTGACGGATTTTGATGAGGGGGCTTGGCCCCTTGAGAAGGTGCAGTTCCCCATCAAGAAGGGGACTGCTATTATGCACGGTACCCTCGATCCGAGGGAATTCTTGAGGGGTGCCACTCCTCCCCTGGATCGGTCCACCCTCGGCCGGTTTGGGGACGAGGCCCTCGAGCTCAAGGCCCTTCAGGCCTCGGCCACCGTAAGTATCTCATCCTTCAAAATTTTTTGCTATTGTGTTCCTTTCCCTTTGCATAATCTGATCCCAGGTGCACCCTTGTGTGCTTGCAGGCTAGCTTGGCCTTCGGGGAGCTTGTGAGGAGGGCGGAGCAGCACCGCCTCGAGAAAGCCAAATCTGACGAGGTTACAAGGAAGCTGGTCGCCAATAATACTGAGGCCATCCGGCAGCTGACCGGTCTGGAGGAGGCCCTTCGGCAGGCTGAGCAGAAGTTGGAGGCTGCCAAGGAAGAAGCCCGGGCCCTGGGGAAGGCTGAGGCCGAAAGGGCCGCTGCTGAGGCCGCTAAGATAGCCGCCGAGGAGGCTGAGAAAGCGAAGGCCACTGCCGTGGAGGAGGTCGAGAAGAAAGCTGTTGCCGCCTTTACTGCCGGGGGGTGGAGGGCCGAGGACCACGAGGGGTGGGTGGCCTCGGTGGTTGAGGCCAGAGCGGATGCCTGGGTGAAGGGCCCAGGGGCAATGTGGCTTGCCCTGAAGGGGAAGAGTTTCTACGAGGGCGCCCAATATTCTACCCAGGCTATGCTGTACCGGAGGTTGGCTCGGCACCACGGAGTGGACCCCAAGGATTTTGATCCGGCAGCCCATGGTCTCCCCCCTCTCTTGCCAGACGTCCGAGTCCCCCTGCCCGAAGGTGAAGAAAGGGAACTGCTAGAGGATTCTGAGCTGGCTAAGTGTGGTGATGATGATGATGATGAAGAGGTCGGGGACGGAGAAGGGGCCACCTCCAAAGCCGCCGAGGGGGGGTTCGGAGATGTTCATGCTTGAAGAATTTTACAAAAATGTGTAATAGATCAATAGGCTTTGGCTTCGGCCGTGATTGTAACCAAACATCCCTGTTGTATTCTAACACTCTTTTTGATGAGTATGATACGTTCCTTTGACTTCGATGAATGTATGCCCTCGTTTCTCTTTGTACTTGTGTATGAATGAATGCATGTTTTCCTTTCTCTCGCCTGGTTTCCCGACGGCCACAAGTTTGTGGACTTAGCCAATTTTCTAAGCATAACTTCGCACAAGCCCTCGGTTGTAGTGTAGGGCCACCGGGGGGTTGTGGTCGCGGACTTAAAAAATCTTCTAAGTAAGAACTTTGTCATGAGCCCTCAGTTGTGTGCTAGGATTGCCGGGGGCTTGCTGTTGTGGACTTAGAAACTTTTCTAAGTGAAATTCCACTGTATGCCTTCGGTATCGAACTATTGGGAGTGCCTCCGGGTTGTAGGGGGTAGGACCGAGGGCTAGAATGAATTAAACTTGGGAAATTTTCCAAGCTAATTTGACTCTAGGCCCCGGCGGTGATGAAGCCTTCGACCTTTAGTGTAGCTTTAGGTCCCCGTCGGAGAGTTTGAGGCTGCCTTCGGCTATAAGCCTGTTGGCAATAGTGGAATCCGTGTGTGCCCGCCGAAGGGTCCCCAGTTGTGGACTTAGCCATTTTTTCACGAAGTTTCAATAGGTGCTGTGGTGAACCTTCGAGCGTGAGAATTGCTTGAGCCTCCGGTGCGTACAGTTGCCGAGGGGTTCAAGATTATAGACTTTGCCTCAAACAGATCTTGTGAGTAGCCCCCGGTTTGATGAATGTTCTCTAAAGGGTGCCAATATGTGGATTTGGGAAATTTTTCCACATTGAGTGAGTTTGGCAGCATTCCGCCATCGGCATGAAGCTTCCGGTTTGTGGTAGATATAGATTTAGCTTGCCTTAGAACTTCGTGTAGCCTTCGACATGGAACATGGTTGGCTTTGATCCAGCCCAATTTTTGGACTTAGCCAAATTTAGGTGGAGTTTTGCCAGTGAGCACTCTTCTTGGGCCCCCGGGGGAATTCGTGTACTCCAAGGCTTCATGTAGTGAAGCCTTCGGCCATGTAGCAAGATGACTTGTTGTTGAGAGATTTTCGTGTGCCTTTGTAGGAGCCTTCGGGAATATATATCCGAAGTGTTGAGCCTCTGGGGAGAATAGTATCCGGGGGGTTCCTTCCCCCCTACACATTTTTTTTTGAATGATGTAGGAGAGGCATCTAGAAACTTGGTTTCTAGGAAAGGCTTGGCCTATATGGGAGGCAAGGGAACAAACCGTTGGCTCCCCCTTCAGGAATGACCTTTCGATATCCCGAAGGGTTTGAGGGTCGTTTCCTCAGCCCGAGACATCGTCTGTTGCCTGCTTCTCCTTGGGAGAGCGCGGAAAGCGCCTCGGTTTTGAAAGTCGTCCCCTCAGCCCGAGACATGGTCTGTTGCCTGCTTCCCCTTGGGGGATAGCGCGGGGAGCGTTTCGTTTGTGGAAGTCGAATCCTGGGCCCGGGACATGGTCCGTTGCCTGCCTCCCCTTGGGGGATGGCGCAGAAAGCGTTCCTGGGAAGGGTTTTATTTGTGTGTGGAACACAAATAGCCGGGGGCACTTGGTACCAGCCGGGGACCGAGTGGTGTTGCACCCCCCGGTTTTTTTTATAGGGGAGTATGTATAAGTATGCATAATGTATTCATGATTGCGTCCTCATGGGGTACGGCTTAGTGAGAAAACACTTGGTGTTTTCAAAGAGTGATGGGGGTGACCCATACACTTGGTACTTGGTACCTAAATTGGTGTTCCCCCTCATGAGAGGAAGAGGCCTTGGGCCTATTTTGGTGAAGAGATGAGGGCTTGGCCACTTATTTTCAGGAGAGGGGGGCCTTGGGCCGCTTGTGTGACATATAGGTGATGAAGGCTTGGCCTTTTGATTATTCTTTCAAAAACGGAAGGGGCCTTGGGCCATTCATCATTACACTTGTTGAGGATGAGGGCTTGGCCACTCATGTTTTACTGATAGAATTTGACAAGGTGGTGCACATTCCAATGCCTAGGGACCTCTGTCCCATTAGGGCGTTTTAGCTTGTATGTCCTTGGTTTGATGATGGCTGAGATGATGTAGGGGCCTTCAAACTTAGGCGCCATCTTGCCGCCTTCAGTGGGTAGGCTGGCCTCCCTTCGTCGGAGGACGTAGTCTCCCACCTGGAATTCCCGGGAGCGGACCTTTGCGTCGATGTAGCCTTTGACTTGTCTTCTATAGTTTTCAGCCCTGAGGAATGCTTGCTCTCGGCGCTCTGAGATGAGATGGAGGTCGAGGGCCATGTTGGCGTCGTTGACTTCAGGTTCATATTGTTCCACCCTTCGGGTAGGAAGGGTCACTTCTGTTGGAGCCTTAGCCTCAAAGCCATAGCATAGGGAGAAGGGTGTTTCACCTGTGGCACGCCGAGGGGTGGTGCGGTAGGCCCACAGGATGTTGTGGAGCTCTTCTACCCAGCCCCCCCCCCCCTTCGGCTTCCAGCTTCTTCTTCAACCCTTCGAGGAGGGTGCGGTTGGCATTCTCTACTTGCCCGTTGCCTTGAGGGTAGGCAACAGAAGAGAACGTGTGCTTGATGCCCCAAGCCTCAAGGAGGGCACAAAAGGGGGCTGCCTCGAATTGAGTTCCGTTGTCGGAGATGATTTGTTGGGGGACGCCAAACCTTGTGAGAATATTTTTGAGAACAAAGTGGCGGCACCGGGCTTCGGTGATGCTGGCGAGGGGCTCGGCTTCTACCCATTTGGTGAAGTAGTCGATGGCCACAATGATGTACCTGTTGTTGGAGGTACCCCTCGGCAGAGGGCCTACTAGGTCAATACCCCATCTGGAGAAGGGTATAGCGGTGCTGACGGGGGCGTAGTTGACCGCTGGTCTGCCGGGGGCCTTCTGAAAGTGTTGGCAAGCGGTGCACCTTCGGGCTAGATCAGCACAATCTCTAGCCATCGTGGGCCAGAAGTAGTCTTGAACTATGAGCCTTCGGGACATGGAGAAGGGTCCCTGGTGAGCTGAGCAAGTGCCACTGTGCACTTCCTCCATTGCGACTTCGGCCTCATCCTGATGAAGGCATCGAAGGAGGGTGCCGTTGTAAGATCTTTTGTAAAGCCTTCCATTCTCGAGGGTGTAGCTTGGAGCCCTCAGTTTCGCTAACTTGGCGCGGGCTTCATCCCCGGGGAGTTGCCCTGTGGTGATGAAGTTGATGATGTCGGAGATCCAATCCTCCGGCCTTAGGTGAATATCCATGACGGGGCTCGCATGGATGCTTGAGAGGCTGAGTTCCTCAATTCTTGCAATTTTTGAGAGGTGCTCGGGGGATTCATCCGAGAGCTTGGATAGGATGTCGGTCTCGGAGTTTTGAGCCCTCGGTATTTGGGTGAGAGAGTGAGCCTCAAATACCTTAAGCAATTCCTTGGCCGCTTCCTTGTATTGTTTCATCCTCCCTTCCTTGGCTTCGTATTCCCCGGAAATTTGACCCACGACAAGTTTGGAGTCACACTTGACATGGATCATTTTAGCCTTCAGATTTGCTGCCAGCCGAAGGCCACAGAGGAGGGTTTCGTATTCGGCTTCGTTGTTAGAGACTTTGAAGGAGAAGCGAATGGCATAGTAGGCGCGGAAGCCCTCGGGTGTAATGAGAACTACTCCCCCTCCGCATGCTTTGGTGGCTGAGGAGCCATCGGTATAGAGTGTCCACCACTCATCAAGAGGTGCCGAGGGCTCCTCATCCACCGCTGATCTTGCCGTGCACTCCGTAACGAAGTCTGCCAGGGCTTGGCCCTTGATGGCAGGCCTCAGACGAATATTTATGTTGTATTGGCTGAGGAAGATGGCCCATTTCACCATTCGGGAAGAACTTGTGGGGCTTCTCATGAGGGCGCCGAGGGGTTGATGTGTGAGCACTTGGACCGGATGAGCCTGAAAGTAATGTCCAAGTTTCTTGACGGTCCAAACGATGGCTAGCACCGTCTTCTCGACGGGAGAGTACCTAAGTTCGGCCTCCCGAAGGGTTTTGCTGACGTAGAAGATGGCATGTTGGATGCCATCCTCCTCCCGGATGAGCACTGAGCTGATGGCTGTCGGGCTAACACCAAGGTACAAGTACAAGGTTTCCCCCACCTTTGGTTTGGAGAGTACTGGGGGGGAAGAGAGGTACCTTTTAAGTTCGTCGAAGGCCTCCTGGCACTCAGACGTCCATTGGAAGCCCGCTGTCTTCCTCATGATTTGGAAGAAGGGAAGGGCCCTCTCGGCTGACTTGGAGAGAAAACGGTTGAGGGCTGCCAGGCGACCCGTCAGCCGTTGAACTTCTTTGACGTTGCGTGGGGGCTCCATGTTGATGATGGCCTGAATTTTCTCGGGGTTGGCCTCAATACCCCTTCGGCTGACCATGTAGCCTAAGAACTTCCCTCCTTGTACGCCGAAAGTGCATTTCTTTGGATATAACCGGAGATTGAATTTTTGCATGATGGCGAAGATTTCCCGGAGGTCCTCGGCGTGAGTGCTTGCCTTCTTGCTTTTGACGATCATATCGTCAACGTAGGCCTCCATGGTGCGCCCCAAGACAGCTTGGAAGACCCTGGCCACCATTCGGGTGTAGGTGGCGCCTGAATTCTTGAGGCCGAAGGCCATCACAAGATAACAGAAGATGCCTTCAGGTGTCATGAAGGCAGTTTTTTCAGCGTCTTCCTCATGCATATAGATTTGATGATACCCACGGAATGCGTCGAGGAATGACATGATTTCGCATCTCGCGGTCTCATCTACCAGTTGATCAATGTTTGGCAGGGGGAAGGGGTCCATAGGGCACGCCTTATTCAGATCTGTGTAGTCCACGCACATGCGGAAGGTAGGGGGCTTCTGTGCGAGGACCACGTTTGCCAACCAAGAAGGGTATTTCACCTCCTTAATGTGTTTGATAGAGAGGAGCATGGCCACCTCCTTCTTCACGAACTTCCTTCTCTCGGCCGAGAGGGGTATTCTTCGCTGTTGCACCGGTTTAGCCGAAGGGTCCACCGCCAGGCGGTGGGTGATGACCCTTCGGTCAATTCCCGGCATATCCTCCGTCCCCCATGCAAAGACAATGGAGTAGGCGCGGAGGGCTTTGGTGATGTCAGCCTTCAGGCCTTCGGGGAGCTTGGCTCCAATTTTCAGGACTCTCTCCGGCTTGGCCGGATTGAGTATCAAGTCTTCAGTCTCCTCGGCAGGCTCAGCCCTCGGGCTGCCTTCTTCTTCCTCCAAGGCCTTGGTGGTGATGGTGTCAATCCGGAGTTCAGTCTTACTAACCTTCTTGGTAAGTTGAAGGTAACAGGCCCAGGAGAGCTTCTGATTCCCCCTTGAGTAGCCGATGCCGGTGGGTGTGGGGAACTTGAGGCAGAGGTGTCTCATGGAGATGACAGCCTCCAAATCCTCGAGGGCTTGCCGGCCGAGGATGATGTTGTGCGCGCAGTCGAGGTTGACGACGACGAATTCCACTTTGAGCTTGGCTCTATGGAATCCGTCGCCGAATTCAACCATGTGGGTGATGACGCCCTCGGCGTCTATGCTGTCCCCCGTAAATCCGGAGAGGGGGGTGTTGATGTGCCGAAGGGACCCCCTGTCGAGTCCCAACTCTTGAAAAGTGCTGAGGTACATGACGTTGACAGAGCTCCCCGTGTCAACGTAAGTCCGGAGGATGATGGCGTCATTGATCTCTGTGCGGATGACGAGGGCATCCCTATGTGGCAGAGAGCCTGAGAGGAGGTCCGCATCTGTGAAGAAGATGGGATCCGCCCTCGGCCTTTTAGTTGGGGGCATGTGATTGACTTCCCCAACGTAAAGGGACTGTGCCCACTTCTTCCTTTGGCTCGTTGAATCGCCTCCGGTGTTACCGTCGTTGATCATATGAATGTGGCGCTTGTGTTGGTATTGGGGGTCCTCCTCCTCACTGAGGCCTCCAATTTCACGCCTCCTCCCTTGTGGATTTCCTAAGGGAATGGTATTGGGGTTCACCCACTTATTAGCCCTCGGCGGAGGCCCTTGGTGATGAGGGGGGCCCTGGGGAGGAGGCCCCCTGATGAATTGGGAAAGGTGGCCTGCTTGTATCAGTCTCTCAATGGCCGTTTTCAGTTGGTGGCAGTCATCAGTCTTATGCCCATGGTGGCGGTGAAAGCGGCTGTAAGGCTCATCAGGGCTGATGGCGTAAATCTCGAGGGGTGTACGGGAGTCTCGCTAGATGAGGACGGGATGCGTGATCCAAAATGACGCTGACGGGATGCGTCAGGGGAGTGCGTGGGTGCTCAAGGAGGACGGGTTGCGCCCATGCCTTCGGATTGTTTTTGTAACTGCCCCCGGGTCTGGCTTGGCCACCTCGGGAGCGATCGTTGTATTGTGCCTCTCGGCTGGCCGGAGGGGGAGGACCTCCGGGCCGATTTCTGCCTTCATTCTTCTGAGAAGGATCCGTGTTGCGACGATCCTTTTCGATTTCCTCTGCTTCGGCGTATCGGTCCCCCCGCTGAAGGGCCTTTGTGTAATCGCAGGGGGGATCAGTGATGAGGCTCTTGGAGAAGTTACCGTTGCGGAGGACGGTGTGGAAGAGGGCCATCAGTGTCCTGTCGTCGGCGCCCTCGACCTCGAAGGAGGCCTGCCTCCATCGTTCTAGGAAGTTCCGAAGGGTTTCATCCTTCTGTTGCCTGATGTTCAGAAGGTGGGAGAAGTGTTTCTTTGAGCGATGCCTCCCAGCGAATTGTGTAAGGAAGCGGTGGGCAAGTTCTTGCCAAGAATCGATGCTGCCTTCGGGCAACCGGTTGAACCATTCATACGCTGGTCCCTCCAAGGTGGAGAGGAACCAACGGCATAAATATTCATCCGAGGCCCCCATCATCATCATGCTGTTTTGATACCTGCTGTAGTGTTCTTGGGGATCCGTCTTCCCCTCGTAGGGTTTGATGGGCTGCCCCCGGTATTTATGGGGGATTTTGGCCGCCAGCACCCTTGGGGTGAAAGGCGTCCTAGTGCGGAGTTGAATGAGGGGCTCGCCGGAGCCTTCGGCTAGTTTACGCCTCATTTCTTCCACTTGTGCCCGGAGGTCAGCGTACTCTGGATCAGGCCTTGCTGTAGAAGCCGTCGGCGGTGCCAGGTGATTCTCCTCAAGTTGACGGAGGAGGGCTTCGATGATTTCGTCCTTGGGGTCCTTCGGGGCAACCCCTTGGGAGTTGGCCCGAAAGGATTGAGCCTGATTGATTTGGTGTCTGGCGTCATCGGCATGGAGGAGGGCTTTGCCTTTGCTCTGGGGTGGAGGCATGCTCTCGGCACCCAAAGCGGAGGCTCCACTTTCCTGGGGCCTGCTGAGCGCCTGCTTCCCGAGGCGGTCTTGGACCCCTCGGTGCCCGGGAGCTCCCCCCAACCTTTCAAGTGCAGAGGTTCGGGGTTTCTCCTTCATCATGGGGCGCTTATCCCTGGATTGGGCCTCTTAGGAGGCGGTATCCTGCGCCATGACCCCCTCGGCGTTGCCAATCCCCGGGGGAGGATTGTTGAACAAAGGAGGGAGTGGCGGCAGTTGGATAACATTTCCTCCAGCATAGGGCTGAAGGGGTGCTCCAGAATTGAGAGCCATGTTTTGAACAAAGGCCGCAAAGGCAGCCTGAAGATCGATGGTCGGGGCCGGAGGGGGAACTTGGTTCTCACTCCGATCCCTCCTTCGATTATCAAGGCCAATGCGGGCATCAGGGGCGTTCTTCTGTAGCTGCTGACGGAGGTCAGCAGTAGCCTGCTCCAATTCGAGGATGATACCACCCTCGGGTACTAAGCGCCTGTTGGAGGCCTCAGCCCCGTTGGTTTCGCCGGGGGCTACGTGGTTCTCCTCAAGGGTTTTGGATTGGGCACGTGTTTTTCCCATTTTTGGTAGGTGTTTTTGCGTTTGGTAGAGGGGGAGGGTTTCTTACTTGATTGTTCAGATCTCTCAACGAGAGCACCAAATGATGGACAGTTTACCCGGGGGGTGTCTTATCCGAGGGGTTATTGCGGGAATAACTAGAGAGAAGTCAGAGCAAATAGGAGGAGAGAGAGTTGATTTTATTAAATGAACTCGAGATGTGGAGTTGGGATCCTTTACAAGGAAAATTGGGCTGCTATTTATAGCAGCAATAAATGCGATGAGAGTACACGTGTCAATAATCTGACGACCGAGGGGTCACATCAATCGGGTGGCACCGACAGTGGCATGTTCCCTGCATTGAATGCAGTGGGTGGATGTGACGTCGCATTAAATGCGGTGGTTGGCTGTCTCCAAAGGGAATCTTTGATGATTGAGCATGTTCGGCTGAAGGCTCCTTATGTAGCCGAGGGCTCCATGGAACCGAGGACCCCTGTGTAGCCGAAGGCCCTGCGTGGCTGGAGGCTTGGTTCAGCCGAAGGCTTCCCTGATGTCGAGGGCTTGACTCCGCCGAAGGCTCATGTTTTTCGCCGTTTTCTCCCAGTAGCTTCGTATGCCAGAGAAGGCTATCTTGTGAGTTTTGGAGCCTTCGGCCAAGGAGGCCGAAGGCACCCCAGTGTGTTTTCTGGGCTACTTTGAGGTTTGGGCCGTTGCATTTGGGCCTGAGTTGTTCTCTGGGCTCAATGGACTTGTGTAGGAGAAGTAGGAGTCTATGGACCGGGGGTTCCTGGGCCATATACTCCATCACCATCCATTGGATAATCTAAGTATTCCTTATCAACCTCAACCTTCTATAAATACTGATGTCCTGAATGATCACACTTCATCAAAACCTCTATCCCACAATCTATATTCTATCTTGTTTCCTTTACGAGCAAAATGACTTCAAGATCAAGTAGTTACACCATAGCTGAAGACGTTTTGTTGTGTCAAGTGTATTTAGACATAACTCAAGACCCGATCATCGGCAGATATCAATCTGCAAATGATTTCTGGTCACGAGTTGAGGCTAAGTACAACGAACAGCGTCAACAAAATCAAGAGCATCGTAATACACGTTCACTGCATTCAAGAATGGATACAATAAGTACGCAAGCACGGAAGCTAAATGGGTGTGTGAAGCAACTTGAGAATTTAAACCCAAGTGGTGCTTCAGAAAAAGATATTGTAAGTATAATACTTTGTATAATTTTAATTTTCAATAATTTATTTACTTTTATGTAATACAAATTAATTTTTATGATATGCAGCTGGATCGTGCTAAAGTTTTATTTATGCAAGATCCAAAATATTCCAAGGGTTTTAAATTTGACCATGTTTGGAATATGATTAAAATTTTTGAAAAATTTAAAGATAATGTGCCAACTGCAAGACATGCTGCTCCAAAAAAAAGACAAGTTAATTACGACTCTTCCCAATCAGACTCTCATCTACCCAGAATCAGTATCAACTTCTTTATTGAACGAAGATGACAATCCAGGTGATGAGGAAATTGGAGATGGTGGATGAGAGTCTGATTGGGAAGAGTCGTAATTAACTTGTCTTTTGTTGGAGCAGCATGTCTTGCAGTTGGCACATTATCTTTAAATTTTTCAAAATTTTTAATCATATTCCAAACATGGTCAAATTTAAAACCCTTGGAATATTTTGGATCTTGCATAAATAAAACTTTAGCACGATCCAGCTGCATATCATAAAAATTAATTTGTATTACATAAAAGTAAATAAATTATTGAAAATTAAAATTATACAAAGTATTATACTTACAATATCTTTTTCTGAAGCACCACTTGGGTTTAAATTCTCAAGTTGCTTCACACACCCATTTAGCTTCCGTGCTTGCGTACTTATTGTATCCATTCTTGAATGCAGTGAACGTGTATTACAATGCTCTTGATTTTGTTGACGCTGTTCGTTGTACTTAGCCTCAACTCGTGACCAGAAATCATTTGCAGATTGATATCTGCCGATGATCGGGTCTTGAGTTATGTCTAAATACACTTGACACAACAAAACGTCTTCAGCTATGGTGTAACTACTTGATCTTGAAGTCATTTTGCTCGTAAAGGAAACAAGATAGAATATAGATTGTGGGATAGAGGTTTTGATGAAGTGTGATCATTCAGGACATCAGTATTTATAGAAGGTTGAGGTTGATAAGGAATACTTAGATTATCCAATGCATGGATTTCCTTTTCTTCACAACCATCAGATTCTTATCTCTTGAGATAAGCGTGCTACTTGTCACGCACTACTTACAATGTCAGATGCAAGTGGGTAGGGAATCATTACGTTACCCGATGGATGAATTTCCTTTTATTCTTTCGCCATCGGATTCTTATCTCTTGAGATAAGCGTACTACTTGTCACGCACTACTTACAATGTCAGATGCAAGTGGGTAGGGAATCATTGCGTTACCATAATTTTGAATTTCCTTTTATTCTTTCGCCATTGGATTCTTATCTCTTGAGATAAGCGTACTACTTGTCACGCACTACTTACAATGTCAGATGCAAGTGGGTAGGGAATCATTACGTTACCCGATGGATGGATTGCCTTTTCTTCACAACCATTGGATTCTTATCTCTTCAGATAAGCGTACTACTATTAATACGAACAAATTAACACATCAGATGGATCGCCACATAAAAAAATGAACTTCAATATTGGAGCGTCCTCTTACATATCATCGTCTTCTTCTTCAGATGATGATGCTTTAGCGATGAACACTATAGCACAACTTGATGAAGAAGAAGAAATCATGATGGTGGCACTAAAAAACAACAACATGACAATAAGTCATTGTATTGGTGAGCTGAATACGCCTATTAGGCATGGTGGATCTGTTCATGGTCATGTGGTGATAGACCGTGATCGAGAAATGGGAGACCATAATTTGTTCATGGACTATTTCTCTCCAAATCCACGTTATGGAGAAGCATTATTTCGCCGACGATATCGTATGTCCAGAGATTTGTTCCTACAAATAGTTGGTGCTGTTACAAATCATGACAACTATTTCCACCAACGAAGAAATGCAACAGGTAGACTCGGATTATCAGCTTTACAAAAAATAACAGCTGTATTTCGTATGTTGGCATATGGTGTGCCCGCAGATGCAACAGACGAGTACGTTAAAATAGGTGAGTCTACAGCAATTGAAAGTATGAAAAGATTTTGTCGATCTATTGTCCAAATATATGGAGGGCAGTATCTAAGAAGACCTAATGACAATGACATAGCGAGACTTCTTGACATTGGAAAACAACGTGGATTTCCAGGAATGTTGGGGAGTCTTGATTGCATGCATTGGAAATGGAAAAATTGTCCAACAGCATGGGCAGGACAAGATTCTGGTCGTAGTGGCTCACCAACTATCATCCTTGAAGCTGTGGCAGATTATGATCTTTGGATATGGCACGCATATTTTGGAATGCCAGGTAGTAACAATGATATTAATGTTTTAGAGGCATCCAATCTTTTTTCAGATTTAGCACAAGGAATTGCTCCTCCCGCTCATTATATTATTCAAGGAAAAGAGTATAATGTCGGTTACTATTTAGCGGATGGTATATATCCAAAGTGGTCAACACTTGTTCAAACAATTCATCAACCACAAGGTAGAAAGAAGAAATATTTTGCCATGAGACAAGAAGCATGTAGAAAAGATGTTGAACGTGCCTTTGGAGTATTGCAATCCTGATTTTCAATTATCGCAGGACCTTCACGTTTTTGGGAGAAAAAAGTCTTACATGACATAATGAGTGCATGTATTATTATGCATAATATGATAATAGAGAATGAACGTGATATACATGCACCGGTTGAAGATGTGAGAGATACACCAGTTCCAGATATTGAAGTGGCAGTTGATGAGGCGGCACGATTCACTCAATTTCTTAGCCGACATAACCAAATACACGACAAAGACGCTCATATTGAGCTCCGCAATGCTTTAATTGATCATTTGTGGGAACAATTCTCAAATTCCAATAACTAAACTAAGAATGTTTATTTAATCTATAGCTTTAAGTTTAAGTAGTACTTTATTAAATTATTAATGACGTATAAATTATTATAATATTATTGTAATATTTAATTTTATGTGGTTTTAGCTTGTATTTGTGAAATATTGATTATTGTATTTTAATTAGTGAGATGCGTGAAAATACATATTAAAATGGTGTATTTTAATTTGTATGTGTGAAATAATGTGTGAAATGTCAAAATATTAAATGAGGGGCTAATATATAAATATATGATAGTTAGATACTTAAATAGAAGAATGGAGAAAAGTTAGTAAAAAGAATAAAAAGAGAATATTCCTTTTTGGTGATGAAAATGGTGTAAGCTGTTGGAGATGAAATACTGTTTGATGTGATGTTTACACCATTTTGGTGTAAAAAATGGTGTTAACGGTTGGAGATGACCTAAGGAAATAGTTAACACATGGTTGTTAGTGGGTACTCATAATTGTGCTTCTAGTGATACATGCTTGTTGCTCATAATTATGGATTACCCATAAGCAAAAAATATCAAAATTATGGATTAAAAAATGTCCAACGAATTGATTTGTATACTAAGGATGTTTTTACATGGACTGTAATTTGCCCCAGACCAGACCAGTTCAGACCAGACTTGGATAGTTATAAAAATACAAAGAAACCAGACCTTACCAGACCAGACCAGCAAATTACAGTCCAAGTAAAAACATCCTTAGAGCCCGTTTAGGAACACGAAAATCGACTATTTCAACTGATTCTACTGAAATTTATGAAGTTCTGGCTGAAGTGGCTGTATTGGCTGATTCTGAGGATTTAAGAAAATATTTTTAAAATATATTTTATTATTAAAATAAAGAAAAAATTATACTCCGTATGTAAAAATAGCTAAAATGGTCGTCTACAATAACTTCAGCCAATACAGGCAGAAAAGTTACTTCAACCTTACTTTTTCTTATTGTTACACAATTCAGCGTGCGAAAACAAAGTTATGTGTTTGGTGAAAAAGTTGGTTGATAAGCCTGATAAGCCGAAAAACAATGTTACCAAACGGTCTCTAAGACTTCATTCACAAGCTGGTTCATCACTCGCCTAGTATCGATTCAAGTTTGGTCCGGTAGTTTCAACAAAGCTTGCTAAACGAATTTTATCTTGAATAAGGGAGTGTTTGCAATTGCTTTAACTTTAAAAAAGTGATTTTTTAAAGTGATTTTTGGAAAAGTGATTAATAGTAAAAGTTGGTAGTGTTTGAGAAAAAAGTGATTCTGGAAAAGTAAAAGTTGGTAGTGTTTGGTAAAATAAGTACTTTTTGTGTAATAGAAAAAGTGAGAAGCAGTTTAAAGCACCATTCTACCTGCTTCCAGCTTTTAGCTTTTAAGTGATTAATTTAAGCAGAAGCTTCTGTTAAAGCAGAAGCTTTAACACAACTTTTTTTAAGCCAAAAGCTGAAAAGCGCTTTTTTTAAGCAAACCCAAACACTCCCTAAGTTCATGATATTTGGTTCCTTTGCCGCCGCAGGTGCATTGAAGTATATTTCTGATTTTGATGGTGAAGGGTATATACATGTTTTGTTTGTTATGATTGTCAACAGGTGCCAGCCATGGACAATAGTATTGACTGGTATACTAGCCATTACAGCTAGCTGGATAGTTTTGCACTCTGGTTTAGTCACTGCTGTTGTCACCGCTTTAATCTCTGCCTGGTGGTACATCTTTCTATACTCTTACCCCAAGGTAGCTCCCCCGCTCCACTCATTTGTATCTAATAGTACAAATGATGATTTTTTTAATATCTAAATTGTGTTTGGACATCACCTTATTCTTGAGAATTAGAGGCCAATCTAAACAAGGCAAGAACACTATTGATAGATTCATCACTTTACAAAAGGTAGTTAACATTTCTTATTCGCCAGGTTTATGCAGAGATGATAGCCGCGAGAAAAGAGAAAGTAACAAATGGGCTAGAAGATACATTTGGAGAAAGGAAGGGGCAGTGATATCTCAGAAGTCAGATCAATAGCAATTTCCTTGGACAACCAATTTGTACTTTTGTAGCCCTCTGTATTAATCAGTTGGTATTTAACATTTTGACATATCAAGTTCTCATGCGGTTCTGTACAAAGTACCAATACATAAATCTGACTACTAATGGATGAAAATACAGTACACCTCTTTAGCTCGAGTTTATACCTTATTCTCCCTCATGAGATATCTATCAATCCATCCCTTTTTAACCAAACATCTTTGCAGTTTGGAGTTCTATCATCAAGCAATATATGACCTCAACCAAAAAATTCCTGAATAAACAGGAAGGATGCCTACCTGGGAAGAAAATATTGCAAACAATCCATTATGACCTGCATCTCCTTTATGCAGAAATAACATTTTGAAAAGAAAAAACATTGGCAAATTTGAGCTACATTGAAGAAGATAATAATAAGTGCTATAGGGGTTACATATCCCTACACTTAATATATTTCAGCAAGGGTTGGTTAGATTTTTCGCATGAATGAAAAACCATGTGTATTTTATGCTTTATCTACTGAGAAGGGATCCATTTGAAGTTTTTAAAGGAAAATGGTTTTCTGAAATATTTTTTGAATAAAATAGATTTCCTGTAAAATAAGGATCCACTTGGTCACCTGATTGAGATAATTATGTTTGAGCAAAATAATTAGATTAAGCAACTTTTGACTTGCTTCATTGGCTAAAATGGATGTAAGCATAGTAGCAAACGCTTTTCCTTTTGGAAAATTAGGAGATTTAGCCATTTCAGCCAAATAACACTAACAAAACGAATCCTAACTTGTTCTATTTGTTTTTTTTTGTATATATATAACCATAGTACTTGACCCACAAAATAGAAAGCGCGTTTAAACTGTATAAACTGTTCCTGAAATGGGAGTCATTTCCCATAATACTCCAAACACTTTTGTGCCAAACGAAGCAAATTCAGAAAATATTTTCCAGTAAAATGCATCTATCTTTAAAGCAATGAAGCCTTGGTAAATGTTACAAAGAATATGGTGAAACAATTAAGACTTGATTCAAATCTGAATCCAGCATATATTATACATTAATCTGGAAGTTCAGAAAAACAAAAGTCTATATACATTAACCAGTTAGGATGTAACTAACCAAGAAGAAGGGCTGAAAAGAAGACTGTTGTTAATCTTGAACCCAAATCCTCACAGTTCTGTCATCATCAAGTCCAGCAGACGCAATCATGTTCGCCAGGGGATGACAACTCACAGAGATGATGGTATCATTGTGTCCCTCAAGCTTTTGCAGCAAATTCTTGTCTTTTTGCAGATCCCATATGTACACACAATGATCTTCAGAACCACAAACAATGTACTTCGCATACGTCACCGAAAATGTGGGTGTAATGCAATACTTTCTGTTCATATGCTTAGTATATGTCTTCATTATCTTTCCAGTTGCGTAATTCCAGAGTTTCTTCAAAGAACCACAAGAAGGAAATTCATATAATGTGGAAGAACTAACTCTTTATTTGGTTAAGATATAATACAAGAAAAAGAATGTAGAGATGGAAGAGATAGGATTAGGACATGATGAAGAAATGTTGTGGTTTGGTGAGGAGAAATGAAAAGGGTGGTTCTTGCAACATTTTTGTCTCTATCAAGAATAAACAGAACCGTTTGAACCGAAAAAAACAAAAATAAACTGAACCAAACAAACCATGATTCCAAAATTTTGAACATAAAACCGAACCGAACTTTTTACTTTGCTTCGGCATTTGGTTTTAGGTGAAAACAGAACTGTTTGAACCGAACTCACCCCTACAGTCTAGTTTGAATCCATTTCTCTGTTTTCTATATCTTCCCTAAACCACAAAGGGGCTGGATTGTGCATATCTTTAACATGCGTTGGTATTTATATGCATGCACCATCAATCCTACAATCACATCTAAATCTTAATAGAAGCAAGTGATTGTTACCAAGCAGCAGCCAAAATAAAGAAGCATATAATATAACTTCTTCAAATGTTACAGATTTCAAGATTTAGAGAGATTGTAGGAAAGCATAACTTACAAGAGTGTCATCCAGAGTTGCTACGAGTATGAACTTGCCGTTAGGAGAGAACTTGGCAAACGAAACAGGGATTTTATCATCTATAAGGGTCTTCAAGCAGGCGCCACTGGCTGTATCCCAAGTCTTACATGAGCCGTCATGGCTGCTGGAAACAATCATGGTCCCGTCCTTGTTGAAATGCACGGCGGTCACGGGCATGGAATGCGCCCGGATCACGTGCACGGACTTGCCCGTTTTCACATCCCAAACCCGAATAGTCTCGTCGAATGATCCGGATGCGATGAGGTTGGATTGGGGATTGAAATTGACGCAAAATACGAAATTGGTGTGGCCCCGGAGGGTTTTGCGGCACTCCCCGGAGCTGGCAACCCAGATGCGAATGGTGCAATCGTCGGAGGCAGAGCAGATGTAGGTGGAGTCAGGAGACCAGGCCAGGTCGGATATTCCGTCGGAGTGGCCGACGAGTTGTGAGAGCTTCGTTAGGGTTTCGGATGACCAGACGATTAGAGTTCTGTCCAGAGAGGCGGAGGCGAAGAGCTTGCCGTCGTTGGAGAACTTCACACATGAGACGGCGCGTGCATGAGCCGCGAGGACTTTCCTCTCCCGATACGGGCGGTAAGGTAGTTTATCCTGGTCGTTATTGTTGGTCGCCATTGGAATGTAGCGGTGCCGCCACAGCAGGCGGGTTTTATTTATGAATGAAAAACTCTACGCCCAAACTGTAACACTCTTTTTGTCTGTGCCCCTGTAATTTCTTTTTACAGAGACAAAAGTGAATTATTTGTGGTATAAAAACAAAAATAATTGTCTCTTCACAAATAGAACAATAGAAGTGGGGAAAATTCTATGGTACTGTTACTAATTTCCAAAGCCAATCAATTTCTAATATTTTTCCATATCACCATGTCATCATTTTTTACACATTAGGAGAGTACTATCGAAGGTTTTTATTAGTTATTTAGATAATAATTAAATAAAATTATTGAATATATTTTGAGAAATAGTTAGAGTAAGTATATATAATATACTTGAGTCATTGATAATAATTGTGATGTTGTAGATATACTATACGAAGTATTTAATACTACCTCCGTTTTTAAATAAGTGCAACATTGCAAATTTTACACTATTCACATGTTCTACTTTGACTACATTTTATTTATTGATGTATTAATATATATTTTTGAAAAAAATATTACTAAATTTGTCTCATTGTAAATTTTCAAAATCTGATTTTTTTACTAATAGTGAGTTATATATATTAATGGTCAAAGTTGTGCATCGGCAAATGTGAAATGTTGACTGTTGCACTTATTTAAGAATGGAGGTAGTATTTAAATTGTAATTCAAGAGTGTTGGTTTCTCTACATCTCTACATCTCTACAATCTAATAAGGGTGAATGAGGGTTAGTCTGTTTTGGGTATAAATATTTTGTTGGTGGTACTCTGAGCTTTTGTGGACATGTACTTTATGCTTAAATGTTTGTAACATTTACAATTTGCGAGGCTTTTGTCTTCCGTTATTACCCCAGATCTGTTTCCGTTAGTGATTCCCATCGGCCCATATTTTATCGCACATGCCGCCTACTTCTCTCGCTCCGTCTTTACTCACAATGCCGATGTTCGGTCGCACAGTGCTACCACGGGCTCGCTTGTGGCTGCAGATCGATCCGTCTCCTCTCCGGTGCGAGTTATGGAATTCCTATTGCCGCGGCCACCTTCAATCCTTCTCTCTCAATTGGCAAACAATTTTCCCCATCTGCTCACCACTCACCGCCAGTCATGTACCATCCACCACCGCTCAAATGGCGGTTAGAATCCTCCCTCAATTGCTTCGCTTTGCCTCTTTATATTTGATGTTTAAGTTTCATTTCTCTATCTCATCACTTATTGAGCTAGACCTCTCGGTCACTATAGTTCGATTATGATCAAAGGTAAGGTAGATCTGCTGCTCTAATGGATACAAGAACACGCAAATGTCTTTTCAGTTAATGTTCTTTTTCAATTAGCTTTGAAATAAGTATTAGACATAAACATATTTATATTTGTTGCCGTAAACTACTCTATCTTTTTTAAATACCATCCCCAAATAGTTTCTAATTTTAATTAGGAAACTGTATTTTCAAATATGGTTTTGTGTTTCTTGTTTTAGGTTGGTGGCAGCCCGTATTAACCAAAGAAATGTCAAATTTAACACTTAATAGGTAAACACCATCAACCACCATAAAGAGGAACATCACTAAAATCTAATTAAATGTCACTATATCAGTAAAGTATGTTGATGATAGTATTTGACCATGTTGATCAATGGTGACTTATCTTGATAATAAAGATATTACCCTGTTGTCCCTTTATATCTTTTATTTGAGTATTGACCAATAAGATTGCTTTCTCATCGTTGCAGGTCTTATTAAACTATTCACTTGAAAAGGTAACAACAACACCCTACTAGAACAGTTATATAATGTAATACTACGTAAGTAGATTGGACATTATTCTAGCTACACATTAACATATGATATGGCAGATGTCTACATCTAAAAAATTTAGAGTGAATGAGAGTAAGGGTCACTTAGGAATTTAAAAAGTGTTGGTGTACTACATTTTGCTAAATGTACTTGTACATTATGCTTTCGGTATAATCCAGGTAAACTAATAATAATGCTTATGTATCTGTCTTCTTTCCATTAACGTCATTACTGCACATGTCCATCTCTAGATTTACCTTCCAACGAGGTTCAGACCAAACCAGACTAGTAAATTACATTCCCAAAGAAAACATCCTAACTATTAAGCAAATTTAGCATATACATAAATGTTAGGCCCTAGATTTTGATGAACTGTTTTGATGATGCTAAAAGCTTTTGTAATCCCCCCTCTATTGTAGCATTATTACTGGAGTCTTTGTTATCCTCTGTTGTAGCATCTTGCAGTTGACTAGTACTAAGAAAATTATCTAGATGTGTCTTGCTCCTTGTTATATAGTTAACAAATAAATATGACTGGAAAACCATAAAATGCAATAAGGCAATATTTATTACAATATTGAGGCAATACAATATTGCCTTAAAAGGATATCGAATAAATCCAACCAGTTAAATTTATTTGTTACACACAAAACATTTCGTACAAATACACTATCTATTTTAACTGGAAAACAAAATGCAATAAGGTAATTTTACCTTAATAGGAGTTGATATCCTACCAGTTAAATACTTAGCTTATCATGTACGAAATACTAGATAAACCATACACTCAGAAGCATATTCTTGATATTCGGTTCACTACAACAAATAACAATGTAAATTCTATATAACAAATAAAACACACTGGGATTCAAAATGAAATAAGGTAAAGTTGTCTTTATCTTAAAATTGGATATTTAAATCCAACCAGTAAAGTGTTATTTGATATATAGATAAATCAAAGTGAACAAGAATATTGATTAACTAACTGGAAAACAAAATGCAATAAGGTAATAATTTTTACCTTAAAAAGGATTTGGTATCCTACCAGTTAAGTTAACAAGATACCTGCTTAAAAGTGACAAGAATTCCAATGTACAAACTATGTATCAGATTAAACATACTGGAACTATAAAATGCAATAAGGTAAAAATTATTTACCTTACATGGATATTTAGATCCAACCAGTATAGTTTTAATTCGGTACATAAGTTTAAACATGTCACTCAAAGAAAGAAAGTGATTAGTAAAATAGGTGACAAATTTTACTGTGAAATTTGTACCAAATAAATTGTACTGGAAAGAACAAAATGCAATAAGGTAATCTTATTACCTTAATAGGATATTTAAAAGATCCTACCAGTACAAAATTTATTTGATACAAAATATTCTAAGTCACACATTTTACTACTTCACTACACAAATCAAGCAGGATCACGCACTCAGCTTCTCAAGTATAGTTGCAAGACAAGGCCAAAACACTCAGAATGCAAGAGCAGAGAAGACATCAGAATAGGTGAATAGTGAAGAGTTTCAGAATAGGCATGCAGCGATAAGAAGGCCTAAGGTATGGGTGTTATCTTCGTACAAAGCAAGTGGCCTTCAAAAGACAAATCCTTATCCTGCTCCAAACACAAGAAGACGCAAGTACAACACTTTGGACGTCTAGGATTAAATCCTCTTAACCAACGGAGGAAATTAATCTACTGGAGATGCCTATAAAAGTAGGCAGAAGCATGAGATCAAAAGCAAGTCATTGAGTTCAAAGCAAGAGATTCTATTATTACACTACGAATATCCAGCAAAAGAGAAAGTGCTAGAATACTCTGCTTTGACTCATGCTTCACTAAGCTCTTAGACTAGATCATAAATTGTCATATTTTTAGAGCTTAGATTTTAGTTGGTTGGCCAAAAATTCCTTGTATTTTACAAGTGGTTGTAAACACTTAGGAGAACAGTTGTTCGGATCCTAAAGCGTGGTTAGATAGATAGAGTACCTTTTGATCCCCACTGGATCATTTGAGAAAAGTCTAAGGACTGAGTAACTTTGAGTGGTGTTATACTCATCGTGAAAAACCTTCAATCTAGGCCTGAGTGTTGTAAAGGCTAGATTGGCACTAAGTGTATTGGGCTTAATACTTTAGTGGAAATCCATCTGAAATAGGGTGGGACTAGATGTAGGAGGATTACACCACCTCTGAACCAGGATACATGGTGTGTTGATTTACTTTCATACATAAAGAGCACACACCAAACATATCTCACTAAAGGTTTTTAGTTTGCCAGCAGCATCCTAAGCAGTGGTCTTCATCGATTCTACTGCTCAGCCTACTGCTTAATAACTCACTCTCCTTGAGAGTATTTTCCACTAAGAAGTTGTCTTAAACTCAGAAGGTGTCTCAGCAGTACCCTGGTCTTCACCCTCCTGCTGAGTCCCCTGCCCATCCATACGTATCTTTCCAAACTCCATAACAAGCCAGAACAAAAAGCCATCCAAGAGTCATCCTGTTCTTAACAGTTGCCTCAGCAGTAACCTGCCTACCAGCCAACTGCCAACTCAGCAGTTGCCTGCCAGCCAGCAAACTGCCTGTGCAGCAGTTGTGACACCGCACCCGGATGTACTTGAATTTGGAATTTGATATGTATTCGAATTTCCTAGCGAATAAAATTCGTGTAATTGATTGGCATATTTAATTAATGTGCGATTAATTAAATTGTTTATCGGGTCCAGTATATGTGACCGGACTACCAAATATTTAGTTGGGTCATCATAATAAATTATAGAAGCCCAATAAAGTGCCAATAAAAGTTGATAAAAATATTTGGACAACCCGAGTGCTATTTTGGCCGAACCTACCAAAAATAGCAGGAATAATTGGGAGGGACTTCCTACACCCACTTGGGGTATCCCACCAGTCAAATAACTCCCCAAATAATGGGGAGGAGACAGGAAAATAAGCTAGGGGCGTGCATGAAAGAGGAAGTCTCTTGGAGACAAAAACCCACACCCTCCATACCCCACTCTCACATTATTTGTGTGTTTGATTGAGAAGGAATCCTTCCTATCTCATTACACACCACTCGAACAACCAAAGGGGGAGAGAGCTCAAGGGAAAAGTCCTCTCAAAGTCCATAGCTTGAAGGGAGCATCAACAAAGGAAATCCAAGAAGAAAAGGGTGGTGTTTGAGGTAAGAACTCAACAAACATTCTCCTAACTAGTATTATGTTGTATGATTTTTAGTAAATCATATGGTGGATCAAACATGGAGTTCTACACG